CACAAATTTTTCATATTTTAAAATACCTGGATATACGATGCAACACTGCAATCATCCTGACGGTACAGCTCATGGTGGAACAGCTATATTAATTAAAAATACAATTGATCACTATCCTTTACCAGATTATCAATATGATCTCCTGCAGGCAACCTCAATAAAAGTCAAGTTACAGTCGTATAACATAACATTGTCAGCGGTTTACTGTCAGCCACGACATAAAATTAAACAGATTGATTTCGAAAATTTTCTTTCACAATTAGGCCCAAAATTTATTGTAGGAGGAGATTACAATTGCAAACATACAAGATGGGGTTCTCGATTAGTTACATCTAGAGGCAAGGAATTATTAAATGCAATAGATAAAAACAATCTCTTACATATCAACTGGAAGCCCAACATACTGGCCGAGCGATACTAATAAAATACCGGATCTGCTCGATTTTTTGATTACAAAGGATATTGATGAAAAATACATTGAAATAAAACCATCTTTTGATTTATCATCCGACCATTCTCCAATCATTCTAACAATAGGAGTTGCACCAATTCCTATAAAAAACAACAGAATATTTTATAATAAATTCACAAATTGGGAAAAATTTCGCAACACACTAAATGAACGAACAAATCTTAAAATGCGATTGAAAAATGAAGAAGATATCGATAAATCAATAAACGACTTTTTTTTTTTTTTTTTTTTTTTAAATTTTATTGGCCTCCGCTTTACAGCATTTTTAGCCACATACATTATTCATTTTATTCTTCATCATATTCTATACAATTCTTACATATATATTTCTTATACATTCATCATATATATACTATCTCTTCTTATATCCTAATCTTCCATCCAATTTTCATTCTTCTTCTTGTTTCTCAATATGTTCTTCTCATCTTCTAAACTTCTTTTTTCTTATTTACTTCTATTTTTTTTTTCTCGTATTCTACAAATTAACAATTATTTGGAAGCGCCAGGAGTCGAACCATCGATCTCCGGCATGTGAGTCGGACATGCTACTTCTGAGCTACGTCCGCCACATAAACGACTTAATTTTTAACATTCAGGAGTCAGTGGTACAAGCAACTCCAGAATTACATTTTCGTGAAGTACAAGATATCCCGCTGGAAATAAAAAATATAATACAGGAGAAAAGGAGGGCAAGAGCAAAATGGCAACGTTATCACAGGCCAGAAGACAAAACTCAATTTAATAAATTATGCCGATTGCTCAAAGCAAAATTAAAACTAGCCACTTCCGAAAATTTTGAACAATATATTTATTATAAAAATATAATATTTTAAGGTCTAGAACGGACAATACTATCTGGCAGCCAATTCGGAATAATAAAAAACCAAAAATTCCAGCACCACCAGTTAGAGAAGATATAAATGAACCTTGGGCAAGAAGTGATCTCGAAAAGGCACTGCTTTTTGCCAAACATTTAACTTCAGTATTTCAGCCTTTTGACAATTCTACGGATACTGAAATAGCAGAAGAACTACATAAATCAATAGATATGGTGGAAGCTATAACCCCTGTTAAATCAAAGGAAGTCAGCTATGAAATAAATAATCTAAAAGCAAAAAAGTCTCCGGGCTATGATTTAATAAGTGGTAAAGTCATTAAAGAAATTCCAAGGAAAACAATTATTGCAATTACATATATATTCAACGCTATATTCAGGATTGGTTACTGGCCAAACCACTTTAAGAAGGCACAAATTATAATGATACTCAAACCAGGTAAAAATCCAACGGATGTTTCGTCATACAGACCTATCAGTTTGCTTCCTATAATTTCCAAAATACTGGAAAAAATAATATATAAAAAAATTAATCATGATTTACCGACAGACATCTGGATGCCGTCACATCAGTTCGGGTTCAGGCATAAGCACTCAACGACTCAACAAATCCATAGGATTGTTGAAAATATTAAAAAAACATTTGAACAAAAGGAATATTGCAGTGGCATTTTCTTGGACGTTCGTCAGGCCTTTGATAAGGTCTGGCATCCTGGGCTGTTATATAAAATTAAAAAACACTTTCCAGTTAAATACTTCAAGTTATTAAAATCATATTTAGAAAACAGATCTTTCCAAATTAGAGTGAACGCTGAACTGTCAGATTTCTGTAAAATAGGGTCAGGTGTCCCGCAGGGCAGCATCCTGGGACCATTATTATATGTATTATTTACATTAGATATACCAATACCTCCTAACTCTATTATAGCTACATTTGCAGACGACACTGCTATCTTATTCAGAAATCAAAATCCTCTATTAGCATCTCAACTGACTCAAAATTATATCTGCATATTAGAGAAATGGCTAAACAAATGGCACATACGGATTAACGAATCAAAATCTGCGCACATAACATTCACGTTGTGTCAAAAAACTTGTCCTCCTGTATACTTAAACAACATCATGATCCCACAAGTACAAGTAGTAAAATATCTGGGACTCCATCTAGATACAAGACTCACGTGGAAAGAACATATAAAAAAGAAAAAGGAACAAATTCTACTAAAAATGAAGGAGATGAACTGGTTACTTAGCAGACAGTCCAAACTATCCGTCGAAAATAAACTACTGCTATACAAGGCTATCATTAAGCCAATATGGACCTATGGTCTAGAGCTATGGGGATGCGCCTCCAAATCTAATCTGGAAATTATGCAGAGAACACAAACTAAAATCTTAAGAGCCATCCTCAACTCACCCTGGTATGTCACTAACAAAACTGTCTATGGCGACCTAAAAATGCTGACTGTGCACGAGACATATAAAGAACTATCATCTAAATACCATAACAGATTGGAGATGCACCCAAATGAATCGATAAAGGATTTACTGCGCCCTCAACAAAACCCAAGATTGAAGAGAAAGTGGCCTCTACATAGTATTTAAGTACAATCATTAGTTATATATATAAATATATTAAGTAACATAATGTAAGATAGATCAGTGGATCCTATCTTATTTTAACATTCACATAATTTGCAATTTAGCTTATAGAAAAATGTAATTTTTCTGATTGCTAAATAAAACTATTACAAAAAAAAAAAAAAAAATCAGTTTAATTTTTGATTTTTGAATGAAATTTTGTTCCTGAACTGTAATAAAACATATATTCGCAATACGATTAGATAATCCTTAAATTTTAGGGTTTTTGACTCCGTAATTCGTCTACAATCAGTTAAACATTCAAGTTATAAAATGTGTTTGGTAACAAAATACATAAATAAAATCATTATGAAGTAATTTTGTTGTTGAATTAGTGTTTTATCTAAGTCCTAAAACAGGCTCAGGGGGGGTCATGACTCCCGTGCCCCCCCCCCTGGATCCGCCACTGATGACACACATGAAGTGAAGAAACGTTTAATAATTTTGTTATTTAATCTTTTTTTAATTCGTCGATTGGGCAGGAAAAATATTACAAACATATATGTATACAACGTCTGTCGGGTCATCTAGTATATATATGCCAAATGTTTATTAACTTCGCATAGAGTAAGTAATATTACTTATGTAAAGATATGCAAAAATTTTAAATTTTTTGACGATTACTATAGTAATACCTTGAGGTTTCTGAACATTTTGGCATATCTTAGAAAAAAATGGATTTAGCAATGGATTATTGATCGAGAGATTATTCCTGGTGCTAATTAGTTTTGGCAAAACCAGGTTCCGCCGTGTCGGCGATACAGAACTAAAAATGCAAAAAATAGCATTTTTTGAGAGAACGAAACATCTGATTTGAAGGATTAAAAAAAAATTATTTGTAATGACGAAATGAAGAATTTATCAAATTTTCACGAAGGCAGCGGTTTTCTGGATAGCAGGTAAAAGTTAAAAAATTTGGTGATCAAAAATTAATATTACAAATCTTATAATTGACTTATATAGGAATAGAATTATTGATAGTACATTCTGGGCTAGTAGATTAGTAGACCAGTAGACAAATAGAAAAATAGATAAGCGTATAAAAAGATATACAATTAGCCAGGTAGGTAGGTTGACAGATTGGCAGAAAATAGAAAGGTAATGATAGATAGTATAGCAACCAGAGAGGTAGAAAGGTAGACATAGAGACATGTAGGTCAGTGGGCAGTTAGGCAGGCATATAAACAAATAGGAAGACTGGTAGTAAGTAGAGTGGCAATCAGAAAATACGTGGACTGGTAGACTGGTGGACAAAAAATAATATATTTATACATAGAAATTAAAAGTTAAAAACACGTTTATTACATGAATTCCAAAAATCCACAAATAATTTATGATAGTTTAATAATTCAATTTTAAATAATAATTTTAAATCATTGATCAATTTTTATTAATCATTGGTTATTTTCATTCCTCGAATGTTTAATTACGGTGCAGGAGGTACCACCATTATTTCAAAAATAAAGTTTACGCTTATATAAATAATGATATATTTCAAACAAACTTATAATATCAGTAATTGAACTGAGTCAGTGCACAAACGTGAGCTTGTATGTCCTAAAAGCGCAGACCATCATTCCAATCTTTAATGAATTTTTAATTTCAACTACTTATGATAAGACTATAATATTTTATGATATTCGTTTATTTAAACTATGATCGCAATTATATGTTTCACCAAAAACGCAAAATATCTTTCGAACCAATTTTGAATTTTCAAAATCGATTCAAAATTTTATGCAAAAACATGGATAAAACTTTTTGCACCTATTCGCTAATTCTAAAGAAAAGCTCGCTTGATTGTCTCGAAAAACTGACTAACGCGGGTGCTTATCGAAATAGTTTTTAAATTTTTTAAATCGGTTAAGCCATTTTTTCACTTATACTTTTTCCAAATTTGGTTACAAGCTATTAAAATTGGCTTGAAACATCAGGAGAACATAAAAATAAGGCCGATTTCTGTCAAAACCAAACCTTTCCTAACAATTTCAGTATTTCACACTTTGTATAATTAATAAAGACAATAAAATAAATAAAACTAATACTAACATGATCTACCCCTTGACTTGTGTAGTTTACCAACTCGAAATACTGCGGTATGGTTAACAAATTAATCATACTTTTCGTCACGGCTTTGAATCGAATCAAGAGCTTGGGCAATACTGGTATTAGATGTTCGGTCATGCTCAATTGATCTGCTTGCATTTGGTTTTTCTTCTTTATGTTTATTAACTGAGAATATGAAAATTAATATTAATTGCATGTATTTATTGTTGTCCTTATAAAAAATCGTGTCAACATAGTTCGAATTATCTAAATCTATTTTAAAGAGAACTGCAAGTAAAGCCTACTAAATACTACACAATATTACCGTTTTGTTGGTTGCTCTATCCCACGGATGTTCACAAGTTGTCGCAAGTCTTGCACACCAGGTCATGATTTCAATTAGGACTTCTTCTTCAGTTGAAGTCAAACATTGATCAGTATTATCAGCTCTTTCTGTAAGAAGATGAATCATTGATTCCCAATCTTGCATCACCGGGTGTTCCTCAAATAAGGCGTCCACTATACATGGAACATCATCTGGTCTCTAATCAAAAATATAAAAAGTTGTGACAGACAAGATAATCAGAAATATATTACCTATTTGTTATAATAAGTTTCAATAAGCTGACTTTTCTACTTACCTCCAATTTTGTGAAAAACTGTAAAAGATATCGAATCCATCGTATATTAGATTGAGCATCTCTTCGAGAATCCAAATTATTTTTAGACATGTTCTCTTGATCCACTTTCAGAATGCACGCGTTCAAAAATTTACCTGCGGCCAATGCAACCTTACGATTGGAAGAAAGTACTAATTTGGAAACACTTTGGATATCTTCTGGTGTAAATCGATCACGATATGACCTGACAGAAATTAGTTATATCAACGCTTCGGATATAAGGAATATTTATCAAGGCTGTAAAACAATATTGAATTAAATGACATAACAAGTCATTGCACTCAACGTTATAGTTAGTGGACAGTTATTTTTTTATTGAAGTCAAATTTCTTTTATTTGACCTTTGAGCAATTTTTCCAAACATGTTAGTTATTATTGACAATTGATTTAAATAATACATATACTTTGATGAATTAATAATACATATACTTTGAAAAATAATGTCTTGTCATAAGACAGTAAGACCACGTTGTAGAAAACAATTAATTGTGAAGAAACTGCCCGGCCGATATTTTCCAAAAACTAAAACTGGTTCAAGACTGCTAAACGCGAGTCCCTATTAAATTACATCAAATGACTTTTAAATCTTTGAAACTGTTTTTGCCATTTTTCGAAAAACGTCAATCAAAGGTCAAATATCGGCTAACACACACATACATATTTTCTCTAAATTTAGTATCAAACAATTAATGATGACATCTCAATGAAATCATGTGACATATTAATACAAAGTAACACATGTGTTCACAATGTGCTAGACTGTGACCTAATTGAGTGATATTTTATTTACCTAAACATGTTGGTGATCACCTTAACAGCTTCCACTTGGTTGTTCAATTCCTCATCCCAAGCAAGGACAATTATTCTTTCTTTAAATTTAGTCGTAAATAAGTCTAATTTGGCTGCGAGTTGATTGTCTTCATATAATGGTGTTAATGCTTGTAAAGATTTTAAACGAACCACACCAACCTAAGGATTAATAATACTAATATAGAATAAGATGTCTTTGATTGTCGTCAAAGGGTTGCATAAACCCTTAGTGCAAATGGACTTCCCCACCTACTTCTACTAGGGTTCCTGCAATATAAGGTCCAAGTTAAGGGTTAAAAATGATAATTAAGAAATGTAACATGCTCCGAGAAGGTCGGTTGGGTCCAGGCGCGAGTCGCTGGACCCGCTTTCTGTATAGTGGTGTGTGTGTTGCACCAGGAGAGGAAACCCCGTTCCAGCAAAGGTCAGATGTATTGTTTATAAGCTATTCCCTCCGTTCCGATACCGATAATGTTAATCCGGTTAATCGGTTTATAGATTGTGAATTAGACTGTACACAGGTACAGCCATATTCTCTCACCTGTAATACTAAAGTAATATTAAATAAGACAAAAGTACATTCTGTTTCATTCGCGTAGTTTGTTGGTTTAGTTTCCACAGGTAATTACAGGGTGTTTATAGACTGGAAGGAAGTCGGGTTAAGTAGTTGGAGTAAACCTTTCGGAATGGAGATGCAATGCTAAGGTATAATAATGGAAGTCGTTGCAACCCCGAGAAAGGGCATTATCAACCCTTCTTAACTCGTCACAATGATGAAAGCGCGTTCGATCCCCCATAAACTCCACTCACAAATTTTTAATATTTTTAATAAGGTAAACGTACACTATTTCGGGATAGTACATTATTACGGGAGTTTTTCATTTTGATCGCAAAATAAGAAAACAGTCGGTGAATAATAATTTTAAACAATACCACATAAACTATAATTCAAATCTCATCAAATAAGCACGATTTTCCATTTTAAATATTAGTTTTTAAAACCATATAGAGCTTCTGAACGCATCAGTCATAACCCGATCGCCATTACGTACAGTCCTGTTGTTAGTTAGGTTAATGTGACGCTACAATTGCTTAAGATTTTTATGTGACACTGGTAAGCTTATTCAATATAAATTTGTGATATTATTGTTAAGAATTAATAAGTGATAAGTTTTATAGTTAAATCGAGCAAATATGTTTTAAGAAAGTGTCAATTTTGTGACTCCCGTAATTAAGTTCACACAATTGAGGCATTGAACGTAATTCCGTGAGTGTCACGCAATTAGGAAAAGTAGACGTGAATTATTTTAGTCTTATATTCTCAATTATGCTTAAATTTAGTGGTGTTTTTGGTGTTACTAAGTTTGGTAATGACCACAGAATATTGTGACCTAATTACGGTATATGTTTTTTTTTCATTTTTAACCCTAATAATTGAGTTTGAAATTACTACTCTTTAGCAAGAAAATATGATTTTTTTACTTATTTCCATTATTCCCATATGCATAAAATATGGTAGTAATGAGAGAATCAGATGTTTCTTTTATTTCATCTACGATAAATCATTTGTGTAATGTCAAAGCTTATAGAAATAGGGGAAAACCCGTAGTGCACTTGTTTTCTATCAATGACGCACGATATTTATAGAGCACGAATCACTAGTGTGCGGGTATGTGTGTATGTAAGCAGCGAATTAGGGACATATTCGTAAATACGGTAGTTAAATACGGTGTAAATGTATGCTTCGAGCGCTATCACGGAATAGTGTACAACGACTCCCGGCATTAAGTTCATGAACCGAATTTTATCACGGAATTAGAGACAAACGCGTGGTTCACCAAAATGCCGATTATTTCTATAAGTGACGTTCTACGACGAAAAATCTTGTTTTATAATAATCTCAAAGGTCTAATTAATAAAATATAACAGATTTAGTTCGTCCAATTTCCTATGTTCTCTAAAATTCGTCTTTAAAGTCAAACGTTTCTTAACATCCCGTAATATATGGTACGTTTACCTATACTACGGTTATCGGTCAACTTATTGAATTTAAAATTTGAATATTGCGCAATGTAATTGTAATTATAATAATGTTGTAATTGTAATTGTATTTTTTATGTGTATTTGCGTTTATCTGTAACTTTTTCGCGGTAAATAGGTATTTCTAAGTTAAGAAGTATTTTATTTTGTCGAAAATATAAGTGATTCTTTTTAATAGTATTTGGATATGAAATTTTAATGTGATAATCTAGGTTAATTTCTGAAATCTATTAGTTTAGTTGCGATTTGTGTCGACACGTCTGTTATAATTATTACCTAATATTTGTTAACATGCAAAAAATATATAGATTTATCGAATTTAAAGTTACTTAACTTATTTAAACTTATTGAACTTATATTTATTTAACCTACTTAAGTTTATAATATTACAAAAAATGCTAAAAGTATTATTTTTATTTTAAAATCAGATTTAATTTATTTGTTGTGTGTGATCGTTCTTTTTTTTCTGGATATAATATTACAAAAAATGTAATTAATTTTATTTTAAAACTAGATGACCCGAAAGACTTTGTTCTTCTGTACCCATGTATACAATTTTTTAATATAATATACTAATATTTACCGCTTATCTAAAAATAATAATTAGTATTACCTAAAAATAATAATTACTTTTCACGCCAAAATGCATATATGTACATTTATAATATGAGCAATGTTAAATGTAGAACTACTTTAAATAAAATGATTAGTCTCAATTCTCACACTATATTGGAAATTGAAGTCTTGCAAACGGTATAACATAAACATATCCATAACATAACACTGTTACTTTATGTTAGATTAATTTAATTAAATTTTTTTTATTATTCAAGATATTCAAAATTGTATCTTAAACTTCTCCTAATCGATATCGTGAGGGCCGAATTGTATGTATTCATATTTACTTTCCCATTTGTTGTTATAAAGTGAAAATTTTACGAATTGTAAAAATATTGTGGAAAGATTAGTAAAGGATGCAAAGAAATTATATATTGAAAAAAAAACTATATTGAAAATTTAATATCCGAATCTTGTGTTGGCACCCTCTAAGGCATGCACTCGTATTTTTGCTTTGCATTAAAGGTAGGACCGGCCCTGATTAATAAATAATTTCATATTTAAAGTGAATTAATTTGTCATATTTGTTCATATATTTATCATTGAATCTGCCATGCATATACTGTATTTTTTATTATTTTAATTTCTGGCCCATCTCAGCTGCCTTTTGGCAATAATAATGTGGATTTCATTTTTCTTATTCATTATCATGAATTTATTATACATATTTCAATGCAAACAATGACATGTCGATTTTTGAAATTTTTTCCATTTATTTCTACAATATTGCACATACATCCCAGTACTTTATAATCACATACATCCTAGAAAATTTCTTTAACAAACTTCAGAAAGATTGATCAAAATCCGAATAATCGTTAAGGAGGAGTATACAGTGAGTGCTGGCAATTTAATATGAACTTTATATAATAGCAATAAAGCTCAAATTTATTCTACGTTTTAGTTAGAAAACGTTTGTATGAGAAAAAGAAAAGGGCTGTTTTTAGGGTTTTCCTGGCAATTATTCGATTTTTTCTCGATGTAAGAACCATCCTTGGACTTCAACGAACACTTTAAAAAAAGAATTGGCCAAATTAGTCCAGGCGTTGTTGAGTTATGCGCTTACCAACACATTTTGCGATCCATTTTTATATATAAGATTGGATTTAATTTACATGTTGTGTTTGTTCAATTTTTTCCCCTGAATATAGAAAAAACTCGGTCAAAAAAACATTCGTATCAGTTGTCAAATATTCGTATTGTAAAGTCATATATAAATCGTCAGTTTTTGAGTTGGTTCAAGTATTTTGTTTTGATAGCCTAGTTCGAAAGATTTTAAACACATTGCCCAGCAAAATATATTGCGTTTTCTTCGTAAAACTCAAATTTCGTACACTTGACCCAATACTGATGTCAAATATTCGTATCGTAAAGTCATATATAAATCGTCAAACAGTTTTTAAGTTGTTTCAAGTGTTTTGTTTTGTTGGTCTAGTTCAAAAGATTTTAAACACATTGCCCAATTTCGTGCACTTGACCCAATGCCGCACACAAAACGTTTTTTTTCTGTCTTCGAAAACAGATATTAATAGCCAAATATTTTGTTTCACTAATTTCTCTAATACATTGGTCAATGACATATTTATGCAAAGAGTCTAAATATATTGTCATGTGTTCTTTTTTTTGGTGACACTCAAACACCGCGCCGCCAAGGGGCGCCGGTCGTCGGCGAAGTCCGTCTGGCGCCATCCGGTACTTGTAAAATTTCATATTAAAGTCTTAAATTTCGCATAATTTGAAACATTTTTTCAATAATTGTTATTATACTAAATAATATGATTAAATAATTAAAGTAAATAATAAGAATACAGATAACCGCAAATAGTATTGATTCGTTTTTTTTTATTGTTTTGTTTGTGTTTCGTTAATCTCGTTCGCGAAGTTTGATGAGCCCTGTAATTGCATAATTGTTTCGAAATGATTTGCGATTAAGACAGAATTACTTAGATTAAAACATGATAGGGATAGAATAATATATATTATATAACATTTAGTATGTTTGCAAATATATAGTGTAAGACTAATACACTTCTTTCTTTTTTTATTATATATTTTGTATTATGTTATTATATATATATATATATATATATATATATATATATATATATATATATATATATATATATATGTTACCTAGAATTCTGATAGAAATATGTTAATGTTTATAAATCCTGATTTGTCGGTAAACTAAATTTCGCTTTTATAATCGAAATAGTACATTTACGTCAGTTTTGTTTCTATTAAATAAAAAAAAAAAATCTGCGAAAGATTTTTTGTTACCACTGAGAATCAATCAATTAGAGTTAGCAAATACTTTTTAGACTAAAGTATTTTGTCTGAACACTATTGTTTTATTTATGTTTTATTAAGGCTTTTACGGAGGGAATAGTACGAGGGGCATGTAAAAAATAAGGTTCCCACATTTTTTTCAGGGTTGAGGCATTTTTTATTGCAATAAATATGTATACGATGGTATATATGTATACCATGGGAAAGCTTG